CAGAACTGAAGCATGCTATTTTCTTGGTGAAGTTCCAGAAATAAGAGGCACAGGTCAAAGACACACATACACATTTAAAGTTTCTGCTCAGTCATGGCATTTTTCACATCTGGGCACTTTCCACTGGCCAGTGTCAGTCAACAGCCAAGCTCAAAGTCATATGTTTGGGAAAGTACACCCTACTAACAGGGAGCAAGTTGAGATAAAAAAGAACATTTATGGATAACCAATACTTGTGAATAAACAAATATCACCCCCCAGCTTTGAAGATTTATCTCTCTTGCTATATTTTCTCTACTATGTGATCTATCCCATGAAGGACCTTTCTTTTGGCACTGAGTGCATTCACTGTAGCATCTCATGGGTTAATTTCAGTTTGAATTTTATGTAATTCTTTTGTCTTTCCTTCACTAGAAAATAAGACTTATAAATGCTGAGAAAGCACCTGGCAAACAGACAGTAGATAGCTGTTGTAGGAATGAATGAATGAATGTCTTTGGTCACTTTCCCAAGGTACTAAGAAGTATGCTAGTTGGCATTTGGTTACAAAATATTAATGATGAGCTAGCTGAGGACAAAAGGATGCTGCTACTTGTTTGAGCCACATAAGACGGGGAGAGCAGCCCTGGTCCTTGACAACTGGTCTTGTATGTAAAAAGCACGTAGAGCCTTGCTTTCCTTTGCTATTGTTCTCTGTGCATATCCTCATGGGCATCTCTGGGTTCTTGGCATAATTCCAGATGAATACCTTCCATGACATCACTGAGTTTTTTTTTTTTTAAGATTTATTTATTTATTCATACAGAACTGGGGTACAGGCCAGAGATGCAGAGGGTGAGAGGATTCACCAGAGACAGAGTGAGGAGCAGAACAGGCAGATCAACGAAGTACACTGCTGAGGGGAGCAGCGGGTGGGTCAGGAGAGGTCTGCCACGCCATGTGGTCACCTCTGGGGCAGTGGGGATCGAACTCATGAGGAAGTGGCTTAAGCTTCTTAGTGCAGTGCTTTAACCTGCTGCACCAGCAGGGAGGGCCTGACATCACTGAGTTTTAACATTTGACATGTTCAGCAGCAATGAAAACTGAATGGCAGGTGGTAATGTCAAGTCTGCTGTGTTGGATATTTTTGTTGGTGTTTAGAACTTGACACTGCATCCCTATGAGCCATATGGATGGGTTAGGCTCCCCCAGGACTCTAATACAGAACTTTTGACCTGTTGTACCAGGTAGAGATACTACTGGGCATTCATGTAGCACCAACCTCTGGGTATTCATGTAGCACATCTTTGGGTGCAACAGCCTCAGGGATCCATGTAGCACCTTGCTGACACAGTAATTTCTGGAAACTCATGATGTCTCTGGATACTACTTATTTTCAAGTAGACTTTGGCTTTGTCCATTTGGGGTTTAAAGATATTAGTAATAATTTCTAAAACTCAAAGGCAGATAAACCAGTTTTAATAGGATTATTGTACTTTAAAACCAACTTCATATGAAACATAGCCCCCCCCCCCTTTGAAGATTTTTTTATGCATACAAAAACTGAGGCACAGGCCAGAGATGTGAGTTTGAGAGAATTCACCAGTGACAGAGTGGGGAGCAGAACAGACAGATCTACTGAAATACATTGCTGAGGGGAGCAGTGGGTAGGACAGGAGAGGTCTGCCATGCCATATGCGTCACCTCCTGGGCTGAGGATTGAACTCAAGCTGCAGTGGCTGCAGATAGCTTCATAGTGCTGTGCTATAACCTGTTGCACCATCAGGGAAGGCCCCTGTAACACAGCTCTTTTGTATATAGCAAATATTTCATAAAACAATGAAAAATGTGAGAGAGGGTCTCTTTGGTGGCCTGCAGGTTAAGTCTTGGCACTACCAATGTGAAGGCCCTCCAAGGCACCTGTGTTTGATCTCCAGCCAGGGAGCTAACCCACTTGGTCTATCGGACCTCTCGTGTCTTACCTGCTGCTTCCCTCAGCAGTGTATTTCAGTAGATCTGCCTGTTCTGCTCCCCACTCTGTCTCTGGTGAATCCCCTCACCCCCTGTTCTACTGGCCTACACCCCAGTTCTTCTATGTAAAAATAAATTAATAAAATATTTTTTTAAAATGTGAGAAAAATACAGATTAAAACTAAAGCAAGATTCTATCACCTCAACCATCAGGTGAGCAAATATTAAAGAACTTATATATTCTCAATAATAGTATTCTCAATGATAGTAATGTGAAAAAGCAAGCTTGCTTCTAAGTTGAGGAGAGCTGAGAAATGTAAATTGGTACAATCTTTAAGGAGGGCACTTTGATGTACCTATCAAAAGTCTATTCTCTTTGTCCTTAAAATTTCCCTTTCTGTACCTATTCTACAGATATAACTACATTAAGACCTATGTGCATGAAGATATTTAGTGAAGCTTGGGTAGCAATATAACAAAAATCTGGAGACTTAAATCTGCTCCAAAGCGAGCAGATTAACTAAAATTAGCAGCTGTGAAACTTTCAAATAGAATAAGGTAGCTCTTTACTTACTGATAAGGAATACCCTCTTTACTGATAAGTAAAGTAAGGAAGAGAAAGAGGGAGTGAGGGAGAAAAGGAAGAAAGAGTGAATAAGGGGAAATTCCAAAGGGAAATAAATGGTGCTCTCAAAAAGAAACAATGGTTGAGCACAGCTGCATTGAAGAACACATATAAGGCCCTGGAGAGTGATTACCTAGAAATGTAAGCGGCAGTCAGATCCTTGAACACTATGCTGCAGTGCTTGCTCTGTATGTTGAAGATGGATAACCCTGAAGCACCTTAAGGAGAATTACTGGGTCAGATTTACTGTAATTCCACAGCACTGAGTGGATAAAGATTCTGGGAGGTGAAGAGGCCAGACTGGAAACAATTATTGTTCAGGGTTGGGGCCTAGGAAGAGGTGAGATGCTCTGAGTGCTTAATTCTGCAGGAGAGGGAGGAGCTGAGATGTTTCTCAGAGGTCAGATGAAGTCACTGGGCAAGTGATTGTGTCTTCCACAGACAAATAGAATATAGAAAGACTGCTGGCTTGTGGTGAAGGCAGGGAGAGTGTTACAGGAAAATTAAATAGACTTGACCTTGAATGTTTACTATGGAAAAATGCTCAGCTAATACTGTAAAATGTAAAGAAGCATGATTTTTTTTTCTTCTTTTCCATCTCAATTGTAATCCCCGCAGAAGAAGCATGATTTTAATCAGTTTTTAACTGTATTCATTAGTATTTTTCTAATAAGAAAGTCCATACTACTTTTACGGGAAAGTATACAAATTCTGATGTTTACTTCTTGGAACATTAGAGATGCAATTGCATCAAGTCAAGGAAAATTTTTTTTTATTCTCATGAGGAACATGTTCTGTTTTGTTTTGTTTTAACAACTAACAGCAAGTCTAAGCAATGATTTATTCATTATAGAGTCAATTTGAGAAAAATCCCCAAGTCATTGCACTCTTCATTAAAATGCAAGAGAGGGATAAGTGCAAAATGATAAATGTAAGGTAACAACAACTAATATGTTAAAGAGGAGAATTCTGTTAATACTTAAAAACAATATGAAGAAACTCTGAGTACAGAGTTTTAGGACAAATCTGAAGGATGGAAGAAATATAAAGGAAGTCTCCCATCAATTTCAGAGGGAACTAGGGAGAGACCGTCTTTACTTGCTGTCTTTGCAATTCACAAATTCTAATTTACAATTTAGAATTCCAACAATTAAATTTTTCTGTTTGCTTTTGTTTCCAAGTTAAAGGGAAATATTCCTGCCTCTTTCTTCTATTTACACGGAAGCCATCTTAGGTTTTATATTGCCCAGGAATATAAAATCTTTGAATAAGGGACCTCCTGACTGATTCTTTCCTCTTCTTTTGTCACCAAGATCATTCTCCCAAGCCCGAGGGCATATTCAGAATGAAAAGGGAGGGTTGTAATAGAACCCTGGAATAGGAGAAGCTGTGAAAGCAGGTGGATGAAAAAAGATATAGATGATATCTTAGAATAATTACAGAATCATTCTGAATGGCTCTGTAAGGTCAGAGCAGGAGACATCCAACTCAAGTTTCAGCAGTGGATGTTCGTGTTATTTAAAGAAAAGACTATATTGGAGGAGATCATTGCACTACCAGAAAAGTTCACCTCATTAATGTCCAGTCACTTGGGTATTTGTCTGAAGGTTACAAGCAGACATAAGAAACACAGGACTCTGAGGATTCTTAGAGTCCATAACATATTTCCTCAGCTTGAATAAAGCTGCCTTCAAAATCCCCAGACTTTCAGAGTCTAATGTAGGGTATTAAGGTATGTAAAATGATAACTAGTGAAGGCTTTTATAAATAAAAATCTGTTCAATACTTTTTTAAAACCTAAGAACCATAAATGCATTGTGAAAAATGGTTTGGGGCTATTCTTTTGTCTGTCACATACACTATAAAACATCTTAATTTAGAAACATTTCACTTAAAAGTAGTATAAGGAAAGAGTCTTGTAAATTCAACAGCATTAATCCATATTTACATTGCTATTCACAAATAGCATTCATAGTCATAAAACTATGAATTGTAGATTTGTAGAGAAAAGGAGCATAAAGAGTTGACCACCTGCATTTCCAAGTCTAGTAGTAGAGTTTCCCCTAAAGTTGGTGCTATTTGATGTTCCCTTAGGGGTTTCAGGAAAGGTTGCTTATCAGAATCACACATGGGAGTCCCATCCTCACCTCAGACTTGCTTAGCTTGCATTTCTTTGAGAGTTAACGAAGCTGAGCAAGGCTCTAGTAGTATTAGCTACAGTAGAATAGATGGATAGGTTTGCCTGCACTAAAATCAAGAACTTGGTCATTAAAAAAATTAAATAAAAAAAAAGCTACAAAGATATTTGCAACCTATGTAACCAACAAAAGAATTGGATTTCAAGATATATAAGGAACTCCAAAGTTCAATAATGAAAATGTTTGTTAGTCATTTTCCTTGAATCACAAACCCTACTACCTACCTATTTTTTCTTTTAATACATATAAGATTTGGTTTATTACAGACATGAAATAATTCTTTTATATATTACATAAATTCCCCCCCCCTTAATGTTATTTAACTTTTTGTTGTGATTAGGATTAATATTAAGATTGAAAGTACTATGCCTGACTATCACTAGTCTGGGCTTCAAACACCTAATTAGAATATTCCTTGCAGTCAGCAAAGTTCAGGTTTCAACAAAATGAAAAAGATAAGAATGGTCCTTCAAGATACTTTAATTTATCACTGGAGGTCTTCTGGCAAAGGGGACTTTGTAGATGCAATTAAGGTTAAGGACTTTAATGTAGGGAGATTATTCTGGATTATACAGGCAGGCCCAGTCCAGTCACAGGAGTCCTTAAAGCTGTCAGAGTCTTTGCCAGTTGTAGCCAGAGAACCAGAGAGAAGAACTCAATCTACTGTTGTTTTAGTAGATAACAATTTACTGTTATGTACTTTGAAAATAGAGGAAAGAGGCATAAGCCAAAGAAAGTGACAGATTCTCCTCTAGAGACTCCAGAAGAAGCAGAGCAGGCTGACACCTTGATTTTACCCCAGAGAGACCCATACCAGACTTCTGACCCACCGAGCTTTAAGGTTTTACAATTTATGTTGCTAAAGGCATCAAATTTGTGGTAACTTGCTAGAATAGCAAAAGAAAACTAATGAATATACTCTCCACTAAGTACAAAGAAACAAATACTGTGCTCAGGATAGAATGGAGACGGAAACCAAGTAGTACATAGACCAACTGATAGGGATGAGAAGATACAATAGAGGAGAGGTCTTTAAGCTGTCCCAGCAGGATTGGGTCAGTTGCAGAAGGAGGAGCAAAATGTTGCAGACAGAAGGATTATGAAACCTAAATCTCTATCATATCAATTTTCTATGTGGGCAGACTTGTGAAAAGCTTGAAAAAGGAATAGGCGCTTCTGGCAAAACAGTAAACTAGAGACTCTGAATGTCTTTCTCCTTTCAACAACCAGATGGTGAATGAATCAAACTTTTCAATTCATTGCTGTGCTTCTAGGAAATATGCAAATAGTCAACACCCTCTACCCTACAAATAAAAAACTGGTAGTCAACCACTTCGTAGCTCAGACACATGTTCAAGCTGAGGATGATTATAAAATATGGAGAGAAAAAAATATCACCTAGTGATTACTAAGGTGCTAACAAGGACTGAGCAACATGAAGATGGAACTTAGAAAGGTAAGCCCAGTACCAGAGCAACTTTTGCTCTGGAGGAGTTTCCCAACCAAGAAAGGTAGCTGAGAGGCTAGGAAGAGAGGTGCTAGCTATAATACAAAAAATGGATAGGCTTGATTGCGTTAGTTGAGAACTTGTTCATTAAAAAAAGTTTAAAAAAATCTACGAAGATATTTGCGTTCTATATAATGAACAAAGAATTGGATTTCAAGGTATATAAGGAACTCCAGAAATTCAATAATGAAAACAATCCAATATAAGTCTTCTCCAGTTATAAAAACATTTCACAGAAGTGACAACACAGATGGTAAATACATATGGTAAGGTGTCACCAGGAAAAGGCAAATTAAAATAGGATATCGGCACCATATTATACCCAATATTGACAAATTAAAGAAATTTGACAATGCTATGTGTTGTCCCAAAAATCAAGTAGTGGGAACTCTTATACACAATTGAATTGCTTCAAATACATTGGAAGAAAAGTTGGCAGGGCATGTTATTTTAGAATGTTTACAAATCCTGCAACCCAGAAATTTTACTTTTGGATATATATCCTAGAGAAACACTGTTGCATGTATACCCTAAGCCAGAATGAAAGCAACATTGAATGTGTATTAAAACAAACTTACTAAAAACAGGGTAATGGATCACAGACAGAGCAGGAATTAAATATATTGTTATATGGCCATCCATATTTTATACAACTGAAAGTAAATGAACCTATATGAATTATAATGTTACATTTAAAAGTTGCAGAGAATTACATATAGGTTCAAAAAAACTGAATAATAAATATCTTAGGAATACACTTTAATTACAATAATGGTAATACAAATGAACTAGCAAGCTGTAAAAAATTGACTAGAGTATGACACAAAGCTCTAAAATAAGACTATGTATTGTTCAGAGATACATAGAAAGATAGATTTCACATGTAACATTACATATGAAAACCAATAGCAAACTGAAATGGTAAATACAAAGTTCAAGATAGGGCAGGAACAGAAGATTCATTAGAATTGGTTATACTTGGTTCATTCTCTATGTGATCTGTTCACTGGTTTTCATCTTAATATCATATTTTTAAATTTTCTAGTATCTTACAAATATTCTTTTGTAGAATCAAGTGTTACATAAACATATAATTAAGCTACACAAAATTGTTTCTACTAAGTTTGGTGTGATTCCATCTCCTCTTTGCTTGAGTTTTCTTTTATTCACTGCTGAGCTCAAATGAGGGTCACCGACCTGAAAGAAGAAAGTGTGCTCTGAGATGACACATTCACAACACTGTCTGAGCTCAGTTTAGACTAATGATCTTCCCAGATTGGATGTTACAAAATTATTTTAAAATGACAGAGCTGAATTCTCTATTTCTCTGTTGAGTCATATTCAATTTGGTGGCTCATTTCTCAGTTTGTCTTATTTCTCTCTTTTTTAAAGATTTATTTATGCATACAGAATTGGGGTACAGGCCAGAGGTGCAGGATTGGTGAGAGGATTCACCAGAGACAGAGTGGGGAGCAGAACAGGCAGATTGATGAAGTACACTGCTGAGGGGAGCAGCAGGTGGGTCTGGAGAGGTCTGCTGAGCCATGTGGGTCAGCCAGGGATCGAACTCATGTTGAAGTGGCTGCTTGCCTTATAGTGCTGTGTTTTAACCCTTTTTGCCACTAGGGAAGGCCCTGTCCTAGCTCTTAAAAATATAGTCTGTTCAGGAGTGGATTTGAACAGTTCTCAGTTATCAAGTGCCTTCTCATTCCACTCTAAAACTGAAGGTCTCATTTACATATTTTACATATTCACATAAAGGAAAGGAATTTAAATTACAATATTGGTTTTAAATACACAGTTTAAACATACAATAAAGGCTTTGTTAGCAAACAGATTGGAGGAGTGAGAAATGAAAGTTATTAATTCATGAGATAAGTAATTTTAATTCAGATTGGTTTCTTAATCACTTTCAGAGCAAGTGAAATATGTGACACTCCTACCTTAGGATATCTCCTCTCTCAGAACCATTTATCTTGCTGGGTCTCCCCCAAACAAGATAGCTTACTTACCTTGTTTCCTATGCACAAACTCTTCATCACTTAGATTTCCCATACCCAAACACTCTTCCTCTCCACCTACCATTTACTACGGGCAAACTGTGAAGGGGTTGGAGGACTAAGTGAAGTAAGTGGGAGGGACTGGGGGAAAGGGGGTGGAGGAGAGAAGGTTGGCTGAGGGAAGACTTTTTTTTTTTTTTTTTTTAAAGATTTATTTATTTATTCATACAGAACTGGGGTACAGGCCAGAGATACAGAAGGTTCAAAAAAACTGAATAATAAATATCTTAGGA